TGAAGTAAGCTGTGAGATGGACAAATAACAACTTAGAAACCTCAAATTGTTCTTTTGAAGTATAAACTCTGTAATTTATGTGCGTAAATGTAACAACAAAAGCTATTTGCGTTAAAAAAATATGCATTTCCAAAGCCACTATAGCAGAACATAGTCTACCAGACTTGATGGTTAGCGTAAAAGGCCGGGCATACTTCGAGCGACTTCAGTCGCGACGCGATTTGGCAATTCGCCAGAAGTCTTCAGAACCAACATTAGCAAACTGCACATGCATAGTGTGTATAACTTACGTAGGTTGATAAATTGCTTTATCTTCTGTACATTTAAATGTGCTTACAGTGAATTATGGACATTTGGAAGGTTGCCAAATCGCGTCGCGACTGAAATCGCGTGAAGTATGCCCGACCCTTAAGGCCTCTATAGTTGATAACAATTTCACATGAAATATGGCCACACGGCCATTTTCACGCGCAAGTGTTGTCAACAACGCATGAGCACAATGTTCAACTACCGACTCTACTTCCCACTTTATACGAAATCCTCAAAGTGAACCGGAAAAGCTCCTTGAGACCATTCTGTCCTGAAGTAATTAAATTCACTATTTTATAATGTGAAAAAAAAAGTTTTTCTAAATTTTTATAGAAAATTACAACTTACCTATGTCAAATATGAAATAGGGTCGCAGCAACCCTGATTCCCAGATATGACTTACACTTCTTAAAAATGTATAAGGGCCTTGGTCTTTGATTAGATAAAGAGTCAATGTAAAAAGCCATTTCAGTAGCGTAAAAATAGATAAGCATAAGCTACGCAAAGATCATTATGTCAGGAATTCGTGCTTCCTATATAATATTTTGCACGGAGCATCCAATCCCTGTTTTTTGCAAACTGCTGATAAGGATGAAAAGAACAGGCGCCAAGGGGTACGTGGTACGTGCCTTCGCTTTCTTAGACGGTAACGAATTATCAGTTTCTAACTGTCGCAGCATTAGGACAGATCTGTTACGTATCACGGCTTCGCATGCCTCTCGTGCCTTTGCGCTGCCTTTAATGCGTCTTCTGTGCTCATTATGCCAATGCGTCAAAGGCAGCAAATGAGCTGCGTTGCGATGGTAAACGAGAATCTCTGCAAAGACTTATGTGAGGAAACTGGAATTGTTCCCTAACTTCTGGATCAGTATGAACGCAGTCTTTGCATTGCAAATATGTCTGAACAGAAGTGACATTACAACTCTACAAAAAAATGCGTCTGAAGAAGATGCGTTCTCACTATGGTCTGTTTAGCCTGTACGTTTCGGGACCACACGTCACTAGGCCTTAAAGGCAGTGTCCGGACAAGATGGGGGTTTTGGGTCCTCCGACCTGTTTGAGTTCCTTCTATGCGGAAGAGTGCTTGCCGTCACACTCTGCGTCCCTGCCTTGGCGGGGACCGTCGAATTTCGAATTGTAGGGCTTCGGAAAACGCATATTCTCGCCGTTTTCGCGCCTTCTAATGTGGATTTTCGGACTCAGTGTTGCGGATAACCCCTGGTAAGTGGATTTTCTCAAAGTCGAGTTTTTGCCCGGACACTGTCTTTAAAGGCTGGTGAGTGTGGTCCCGAAGGCGCAAGCGACACGCAGGCGCGCAAATCTGCCGTTGGTGTTCAAGGCAAAGTGCGGGCAAGCGGATTTTACATGGCCTGTAACTGTGAACCGATGAGGGCTTTGCCAGATCGTGAAGTTCGTATCGGCTGCGAAATTACAAAACGACACAAAGGCATCAAATTAATTTGAACTCAAACGAACGGAATCACCTCCGCCCTTCTTGAGTCTCGTTATATGGTCTAGAGCTAACATCAGGTCACAGAAAAGCACTGACAAGAAGAAAAACTGAAGAGGTTTCGTTGGCGTACTGCGCTAGCAACAGCCGCGAACTCACCGATCTGCACGATCAGGAACAGCGCAGCACAATAGGGTATGGCAATTGGTAAATCATTGTGGTGCATGGAAGTTTCACATTGAACAGGCAGTTTGGAGAACGAGGCGATTTATTCGAAAACGTGCTGCGATGTCGCGCACGCGGGAGTGTTCGCCCCGTGGTTGGACGAGCTGTCGCGCGCGGAACGGCCGAAATCGGTGCGGGTGAACTGCTGTGACTGGGCTGTTCGCTTTGTGGACTTCGAGCCGTCGGTGTTGTTCGAGTCACATGCGTCACATCCAATAACAGCCGGTTTTCTTACGCCACTTCGTTAGTCATCAAAGTTTGGACCGTTCTTATCCTCTTAAAAAGTGATTTTCTTTCGGAATTTTCAGTCTATCGTGAAGTCTTCTCCTTCCGTTCTGCTTTGCGTCATATATTGCGGGACGTTTTTCCATAAACGACATCATTCTTCCAATGCGATTGAAACGCATTCAGTGTGGGCATTTCCATGGCGATTCTCCATGTGTTTAGTTTCGTTCCGTTCGATTTAGTTCACTTCTTTTTCCCCTTAATGCACTTCATCGATTTGTTTTCCATGTCCATAAAACCAGTCATATTGTTGACATCCAGGTTGTATACTCAAAATCTGGACATTCTCAAGTGCTCCATTCTTGCATTTTTGTGGACATTTAAAAACCCTACGATTGCTGAATGAACACCACATTCTTAAATCACGCAATGCCCTCTTTATCTCTAGTTAAAAATGTGAACTTGTAAGATTTGAGAATAATGAGCGAAAATATGATTAATGTCGCAATCACTCCGTTACTGCCTTTTTGCGGTATCTATTTCTGTAGATGTCATACTCTTTTCTACAGCTTTGCTGTTTTTATCCAAGCTTCTCCCACCTCAGCAAGTTATTCTTTCAGTTTCGATTCTATAAGTTTTACAAAATTACTAGGGCAGATAATACGCAGGTTGCTACCTGTGCGGCGGTGCCTTCGACGCCATTGAGTCCTCCCTGCCAGCACTTTTCAAACTCTATCCCCCTGAGATTGTTTTGTGCATCTTGTTTGATGTCATGAAACAAACTTGTGTGGTGTATACGTCATTTTCTGAGATTTTGATTTCAGTCTAGCCTCGAACATGACCTCATCTGGAGCATACTTGTTTACTGGAACGCTTCTCAACAACCTTCCAAACACCTAGTATAACCTAAGGACCCTTCTTTGTGGCTGACTCCCGTCTGATCGTCCATTCTGAAAATGTCAGATGATTTTCTCGTCGAAAATATGCCAATTGAGTCTTTCGCGGTCTTCACAATCGATATAATTGTTCTCTCTTCACATAATCTTTGTCGAATGCCTAAATGCAATTTTCATGATATTCGTGCCGACCGGACGTTTGGTAATACAATGTGCAATGCGTACCCTGCAGTGTACTGAAAAAGTATCACAATTGCTGCTGTCTCGACGGAACGCAGCTTGTTGTCCAGGAATTCCTTGAATTGGTGCTAGCCAAGCCTTTTTTTGTATTTCTTTTCACTTAACATAATCTCACATTCAATTTGTCTTTACCTAAATGAGGACTATTTTATGCTTTCCAATTTCTTGCTTTTTTAAAGGCTCTCGTTATCACAACCACAATCGGCTTTGTTCTACTTTGCTCAGTATCTTGTCACCTTATAGCAGTTTGGGTGTCATCTTTTTTTGGACTGTCCCTTATCTACGAAAATATGGCCTAAAAATCTTAAGTCAACTATAATTGTGTTTTACAATTATTTTTTCACACTCTTGAGCTCTATTCCACTTCATACGACTTAAAATGCAATTTCTTTTTCTTAATGCGCGTATAGCTATATGTAATCTCTTCTGTGTTAGCCAGTTGTACCCTTCGACGTAACAGCAACGCATCCGCAGCGCTAGGGCTTTGGGTGGCGACCTCCGATCAGTTAGTCATTGAATAGTCGAAGCAGAAGCTCCCGAATGCGGCGCGGGGAGCTGGTGCTGCGGTTGTGCTGTTGAAAAGAAATATAAAGTTGACACGGACTGTAATTAGTTAACAGTTGGTCACAAGATGGTAGATTTTGCTACCTACGGCTTTTCCGAAGGTTACGGTCGATATGCGATATGAGCTCAGAATCTCTTATTTCGTTTCTGCACGAACGCGAGGGCCATGAAAGTTTCACTGTTTGATCAAATTGAGATTCCGATCGTACACTTACCGTAAAGTGTAAGACCACTTCTGGAGCTGATATGAATTTGTGATCAGCATGCAAATTCTCTTCGTGCAAAGTCACAGCATTGTGAGAGTTTGGTTTTGTAAAATGGAATAGCTTGCTGCGGTGTAGGCAAAATCTGACCATCATCACGATCTGAAAAGACAGCTTTGAGTAAAAGATAGAGCTTTGAGTTTGTCTGCCCACTGTTTGGTTCAAACGCTCTCACAAACTCGAAATCATACTAGTTTCTTGTTTTATTTAATCTTTATGTAATTTTCCGCTTTGATAACTTTCTCTATTTTTCTGATGCTTTTGGATTGTTCTCCGAAACATTTTCGAGCTTGACCACTCATAGCTTCAAGCACACGTTCAAGTGCACCGCCTGCTTTCTGAAGCTTTCAACTGGATTGTTGCTTCTTGTACAAGCAAATCTCAGTTTTGCTGAGTTTTGCATTCAAGCCTTGCAACTATGAAGATTCAAGCACTCTTGTTTCATAGGCTTGTCTTTGCTCGCTCCTCACTTACTATCATGCCGGCCTTCATTTTCCTTTTCTCTTTATCGCATGCATGCAGATAAGATTCGACATCAGCTGTTCACTTTTTCAACCGAAAAAGGAATGAAGCTCTACTGCTCTTCGTTATCCTGGATTTTGACAGATGGCTCAACTCAGTCTTGTTTTTCTTGAACTTTTTTTCTCGTGACATCCCTCGCGTCACTGCTTGGCTCAGCAATTTGTGCTCATATCCCTCGAGACCCCGCATTTCAAAGTCTCAAAGTTCTCCATGATGTTACTTTGGTTCCGGCTTTGGTCTATCGCTGAAGATTTGATAGCGCTAAATGAAGCGTTCGATTAATGCATATTTATGCAGCTGCGTTGTGCATTTTCAGCAGATGCCCACTTCATCAGTGCCGTCGCTGTAGTCTGCTGGCTTGATAATCATGAGCTCGGACGTTATTAAACGTGCGAATCCGGCTGATGATTATGAGCTTCTGCAACGGGTAGGATCAGGCACCTATGGCGAGGTCTACAAGGCACGACATATCAGGTAATTTTGGTTTCATCATAGATTTTAATCTTAGTGCTTTCTGAGCAACCTCTACAATAATTTAGGAGCGGAGAGTTGTCAGCTGTGAAGGTTGTAAAACTCGAAGCTGGAGACAACTTTGCCATTATCCAGCAAGAAATATTGATGATCCGGGAATGCTCTCACCCTAACATTATCGCATATCATGGCAGTTATCTACGGCGAGACCGATTGTGGATTGTGATGGAGTACTGTGGAGGAGGTTCACTGCAGGATATCTACCATAGTACGTTCATTTCTCATTCTTGCTTTTTTCGCATTTCGTTATGATAATTTACGTGATAGCAGGAGATGGTTTCCTTATCTACCATAGCATGTTCATTTCTCATTCTTGCTTTTTTTTCTCATTCCCATGTGATAAATCTTACGCGGGAAAAGGTGATGCTTTCCGTATCTACCATAGCATGTTCATTTCTCATTTTTGCTTTTTTCTCATTCCGTTTTGATGAATCTTACGTGGGAAAAGGCGATGCTTTCCGTACTTCATATCATAAGGGTAGCCTCTTCTCATATTGGTAAACACGGTGAGATTATTTCCCTCTTGGTATGAAGTGAACTCTTAATTAACTTTTTTCTGGGCAAAAGTATAATACTTTCAGTGTTGTTCTCATGACAGCGAATTTCTTCTGTTTCGAATAATTATATACTTTTCCCTAAAAAGTGTGTACTTCGCTGTCATCACTATCCCAAGCACTCCAAATCGTTTTTATCAACTCTTGTTGCGCGGCGTTCGATTACCTCGTCCAACCACTTTTTGGGATATGGGACACAATGTCATAGCGACCGCATTTATCGCGTAGGAAAACTAACTGGGGACTGACTCGCTCACAGTTCTTCGCTCTTGAAGTGAGAGCGAAGATTAAAGGACAGAAAGTTTGGGAACGAAATAGTTAAGGGAATAGCTTAGTCACTAACTTGTATTTTTCTTGCTTGTATGTCTCTGATCAGTCTTTGATTAGCTTCTTGAGTATATTTGATTTTATCTTGTGTCTTTATTCTGACTTGTGCTGCGTTTGTGTCTGGCATAACGTGGCATTGCTGTCGGTGTTTGCATTTCTGAGAGTCAACAGTACTGCTGAGTGCATATGGATCTCGCTGTGTAGTTGCGCTAACTGCAAAAATGAGCCCATACATTGTTTTGCAAAAAGTTCTGATGTAATGGCTGGTGCTCTGATTTAAAGGACACGGATCTGGTTGGCTGCAGTCTCTGAAGTGCCAGGGAAGTGTTTTGGAAGATAGACCCTGATTTTGTGATAACATTACGAGAATCAGGGGAGAATTGTGTTGATTTAATGGAGGGATACTGCTGAGTTATCTGTATAACTGTTTTCCTCGTTTTCGAATCAAGCATCACATAAAAGTTGGATTTCTGACAAGCTGGTAGTGATTACTGCGAAACTGCCTGGGTTGGCATTCATTCTCAATTTGTTGAACACATTTTTCTGATCGAGGTCACATGCAGATTGGTGTTTAGTTTGTAATTGATATCCTTACTTGAACATAGGCAACAATAAGTTTTATTCGTTCATCTCCATGGTACCTTCTGCTTATTATATTTCTCTTCTAGTGACTGGACCATTGTCAGAGCTTCAAATTGCTTTCGTATGTCGCGAAACATTAAAAGGTCTGGATTATCTGCACAAGATGGGAAAGGTAATGCGTCACTATGGTTTTCGTTGATTAATGATTACTTTACTTTGAATATGGTCATCCTAGGTACATCGTGATATCAAGGGTGCAAATATCCTCCTCACGCATGGAGGCGATGTGAAATTGGGTTCGTGACAAGTTTCGATTTTCTTTGTGTGCTGTATTTTCTTTTTCAGCTGATTTTGGTGTTGCTGCACAAATAACTGCCACACTTGGGAAACGAAAGTCTTTCATTGGGACACCTTACTGGTCAGTTGTTTTACCTGCTGACGATACATTTTTCTATTGCAACTTCGTACAGGATGGCACCTGAAGTTGCTTGTGTGGAACGTAGAGGTGGTTATGGCGTTCAGTGTGATGTTTGGGCTGTGGGTATAACAGCTATTGAATTGGCTGAATGCCAACCTCCTTTGTTTGAGCTCCACCCGATGCAGGTAAAATTATACACATTTCATCTTTCAGTATGTCTTTCTTTTCTTTTCTTTTTTTTCTTTAAATAAAAGTCGGTATGCTTCTGCTTGGACTCCTCACTTGGATCGGTAGACCACATTTCTCAAAATTGTAGGGTCAGTAATAGAAGGGTCATCTTCCAGGTTTTGTATCTCATGACGAAGAGCAGCTTCAAACCTCCACATTTGAAGGAGAAACATCGCTGGTTGGTATTTGCTTCCACATTATCTGTTCTTCCTCTTATATTCTTCGACTTCTGCTGTTTTGGTCAGTTAGGCCCGAGCCAGATTTCGCTCAAAAGCGCCCTAATTTCTCTAACTCCTCTTCACTTTATCTCTCTTCACACGAGAAAGTGAAGAGAGGTTAGAAAAATTTGGGCGCTTTTGAGCGAAGTTTAAATATATTTGTACACGTATTTTGCATTAGATGTCTCTTTTGAACACGAACTTTGTGAGTCTTTGCGAAAGAACGCGGCGGTATCGAGTTAGCAAGCAACCGGTTTCAAGATAAATTTGATTACTCGCCAGCAGTAGTCATCTCGTATCCCCCCGATTTGCACTGTGAATGTTCACAGTTGTCAGCTGTCTGATCAGTTCTCTGCAACACGCTCGTTTAGGTCGCCGCTGTTCCACGATTTTGTTCGCCAGTGTCTCACGAAAAATCCGAAGAAGCGACCTGCACCTGACAAGCTTTTAGCAGTAAGTTTTTTTTCATCTAGTTTCTCAGTGCAGTAACGATCAAAAACTTGCAAATGCTGTGTAAAGCGCGTCTACTGAGCTAACTTTGCATTTTCTTAAAATTTTCTTGTCTTCAAATCTACAGTGGGCATTTTCTTGCAAGCATTTTTTCTTTAGCTTCTGCTGCTTTGACATGTTGGAGATAAGTTTTGCACCAAACTTTTTTTAGGCCATAACCGTTGTGTTATACTATGTGCATTGCACTTGACTCAAATTTACTGTTTTGCAGACTCATCACTTCGTGCTCGGTTCTTTGAGTTCGAGAATGACAAGAGATCTCCTAGATAAGGTAGTCACTTCTTTGCGATAAAGAGTGAGTGTGTTGTTCTTCTCTGTCATCTGTATTCAGGTGAATAACGGCTCTTCTGCTCGGCTGCTTCATCGGGAAAGTCAAGAGGAAGACGATAAGGACAGCGGCGAAGAAGAAGAGGTATGATTGACATTTTTGTACCAAATTTTACTATATAGAACTTGGAAATTAATCTGAAAGAATTGCAAGGGCTTGACCTTTTGATAACTTATGTTGATCTATGCAATCACCGCGCCCAAAGATCTCGCATGCAGCTGTTGAATAAAATTGTCTGATTTTTCACTTGTGTGCACTTGTCGCGGCAAGTTTACTCCCAACACTATGTGCTAATCTCCTTTATTGAAATCCCAAGGCATCCCGGAGGAAAGGTGTGATTGTTTTGCACTCTCTGGAGCAGATATGAACGTCGAAACAGCTGCCAGGCAATGCACACACTTCTCTAGCGAGGGCACGACAAGAGTTTGGGCAGAATTGCTTCACGTTTGGAACGGAAATACCAAACACACGCATGCCACTAAGCTCCGTCGTGTAGAAAGAAAGAGTATGTTTTAGGTATGGTAGAGTTCAAAGTGCTGCTGATGAGAGCTGTCGATTCTGCTTTGCTGTAGCCAAGCGAATTCAGTATCACAAGAAAACTTTAAGATACCCCAATCTCAGCTATTGACCCTCATTGCTCACAGCAGCAATTTCATGATCATTGAGAGAACTCAATAAAATACGTCTTACGTCTCTGCTACGGGCTGGACCAGACTTCGCGGCGAACGCGATGTACGCTGCGTACGTCGCATATGCTGGTTGCGGCGCGCAGTCTGGCCCAATCCTACTGTTTTTTCAAATTCATTTCATATGAATTTGTGGAGTGTGACAATGTATCTTTACTCTAGAACGTTGAATTGTTTCAATTATAAAAGAAAAAATGTTCATAATTTTCGAATGAGCACATGCTTTCTCGATTTAGGAAGATTTGCGTCCACAAAATGTTCCACCAATGCGAATTGGCCTGCCGGACCGTCTAGATGGTCTTCGATTAGGTGGAGTTGGACGAAGTCGCGACGTCACACCATCGACTCCATCGTCGATTTCGTCAGCGTCCTCTCGCAGCACATTCCATACTGATCGTACGCTTCCTGCAAGGGTAGGCTTGTAATGCAACATTTATTCTTACACTGACTACTTGATGATCATTTATCGATCAACAATTACAGGACATGCCGCCATTGCCCGATGTAGTCTCTGGGGATGCACTGCTTCATGATGGTAATGGCGTTATAGAGGATGACGTGGGAACATTAGTCGGTCAGCAGTTTTTGAAGTTGCTTTTCCATAATTACAGTAACTATCATCTTTGGATATAGACCAGCATCTACTGAAAATTTGTGAACATGAATGAAAAGCTGCTTAGGTTGCTTTACATCGAACAAACATAATTGAGTATCAGAGCAATCCAGTGTGCCACACATGACGCTTCAATCCAATGTTAATGCCATCATCAAGGGCACATCGCTAGCGCAATGCTTTTTGTGGCGGGCTTAGGCATGTGCCTTGTAAGGGAGGGTCACGAATTTGAAGTGGTGAATGTCCACAAACTGCACCCCATTAGTGAGCGCTTGTAACGGTGATCCCAAGTATGCTTTTCCCACTGTGGGGCTTTTCTGGGAAAGAAGTTATGAGCAGTTTTGGACAAAAAAAATGAACTAATGTGGATGAAATCAATTGTTACAGCCTTTCCAGACGTCATGGGGGCAATAGAAAGAAGTGTTGATTTATTAGACGGAATGAGTGAGAGTTCATTGAATGAAATATCCTGATTTTTGTCATTGCTGCGTATAATGTGTAAGCGGCTGTAGCGACTGATTTTATCTCAGCCATTAATTGATTGTTCGATTCCAAAAAATGCTCATAACTTTTTTTCAGAACGCTCCGTAGATAGGAAAAGCAGATTTGCAATCACCTTTACAAACTTTTGCTAATGGTCTGCAGTTTGTGGTGATTGGGGCTATCACAAAAGAAGACTCTTTTTTTTTCAATTTTATTAGCGATCACACATCAGTCTCACTTCTAGCTCCAAGAGCTGCACCGCGAACTCTGCGAGCAATGCAAAGCCCCGCACATAGATCCTCTTCATTGGAACACAATGATGCCGTCCGTCTGCGGCCGGTTACCGCTGAGGAAGCTGATCGACCGAAAACATACTTTGGAATGCCTGTTACACCTAAGGTGACTGAGTTTATAGCAAATAGTGCATATCTCAAATTTTTCTTTAGGTGGTCATGGGCGCTTGTTTCACGAAGATGGTCCATGAATGTAGTTTGCGGATTAACTGCGCTGGTTCATGGATACATCCGGGGACAGGTGCACAGTTCCTGCTCCTCGGATGCGAGGAGGGAATCTATGCCGTCGATACAAATAAGCTGTATGATGGAGATTTAAATAAGGTATCTCTGTACGAACATGATTGCAAATCTTTACCCTTATTTTATCTGAATATAATATGTTTCCAGATCCATCATAGACGATGTTCGTGGTTATATGTACATCATGATGTACTCATGGCCATGCAAGGCAGGACCTCCTATCTGTACAGGTTTGAGACTCGATGCATTTCAACGTCTCAGCTATCACTGGTTGAGAACTAAGGGGATGTTGTTTACGTTATATGTGTTCTAGACATGATTTGGTGGCACTTTCTCAGAAGAATCTCACTTTGCGTATCAGCAAGCCAATCAATAAAGTACCCGAAAGATACATTCCCAAAAAACTTGCGATAACGGTCAGATTGCCAGAGACCAAGTATGTTTTTTTTTCATATGGTACTATGCATCAACATTGAATTTTTCAGAGGTGCCATGCAGTGCACGACTTCACGGGGCACAGGTCCACAGGCAGGATCTGTATTTCTCTGTTGTTGCACTCCTTCTTCAGTTTTGTTGTTTCAATGGTGCGTTTTTTCTCTTTCCTTCTAAATCTGCACAAGTTGGATTAAAGAGTTAAGTGATTCAGAACTGCATCTCCCTTCATATATGCACGTTGCTGGTTTCCTTTTTAGTTAGCGCAAAATTCTCATCTTATTCGTGAAGTTTTTGTTGCTGGATGGTTTGGCGCTCTTTTGATTAGGGATTTTTTCTTCTTAGGTTTAAGATCATCAGATCATAATCATATGCTTCATATTGAAATTCATGTGACAGTATATTTACATGTTTATTAACGAAGCAATAACTAAACCTCAACAATCGGTATGGCAAAATTGCTTCTTTTTCCGGCTTCTTCTCCTTTCTTCCATCTCCCACTCAGTTTTTCTCGCTTTCGATTCAATATTTGGAAACTTTCTTTTCAGGTATGAACCTCTGAACAAATTCTTGCTCGTGAGGTCATCTGAACTTGACAGTTCCTTACGATTTCCGCTAAGTCCTTTTAAGGTTAGTGTATGTATGGCACAAACAGTCAGTAATTAGCAACTATTCAGTTGATCAACGCACGCACCGATTTTCCTCAGCTTTGTGTTGGTGTACAGGCTACTGAGAGTAACGACAAGTACGAATTCAGCTGGGTGAAGTTTGAAGACAGAAAGGTAAGTCTGGTCATATTGTGCTGTTTGAAGATCGTTCATTTGGATCGCTTCGCATTCGATAGCTGTTTTTAGATATTGAATCCGACGGAAACTCTTGACGTTTCTATGTTCAACAACGCGAAGCTTGATGTAGTAGGAATGTCGCAGATTGGGAAGGATTCGTTACTGTTTGCCTACAAAAACAAGGTATTCGATTGATGCCTGAAAAGAGGAGAGAACCATTGCACTACATTTAGGTAGTTATCACTGACCTAGAGGGACGAGAGAAGACAAAATTAGCTGTGTTTACCTTCAATTTCCACATAGAATATATACATACAATGCCGGATTCAATATTGGCTTTCCATTCTCACGGAGTACAGGTACATCCATATATTATTTACGTGTTTTCCCTGGCTCCAATTTGTTTTTTGTATCAAGTATATATCTTTTTTTCCTCAGGGAAGATGTCTATCGAACAATACCGTAACGCAAGATATCTCCGATATGTCAAAAATCTATCGCGTAATAGGCAATGACAGGTCTGTTTCAATTCGAATTTAGATAATTCCATATAAATTCGCTTCCCGAGTAAAAAGAGCTTTGTTAGATGCAGTGGAATGTTTTCTTGAAACTTCCGTTGACGCGCCCATATTCTGAGACTATTTTTGTCGTTCAGACATTTTTGTTCAATTGGAATCTATTCTTCCTTAGTCATAGGAGACGTGTGCGATATATGCGGTATATGCAAATGGTCAAAATGTGGCAGTGCACTTGCTTCCAACGTGATTGCGATAGTTAAGAGGATTAATATTCTTTCTAAAGATCCTGCTGCTTTGTAATTTCTGTCACAGTTGATGGTCGTTAAAACTGTTTTGCTCCATGTTTGTCGTTCTCACTGCTGACACTTTTTATTCTTGTTTTTGCCGCGCCTTATTTTCATTTTTTCCTTAAGAATGTGGTAATCGTCTGAGAGCATTTTGCCATGACCGATTGGAAAATTTGCTTCCTCAAACAATTAGAGAAGATTGACGAACTTCATAATGCTTATCTAACGATAGATTCGCCACTTGCGAAATACTGAGTCAAAATAGTACTTAAGCGGGATTAAAAGAAGTAAAGTCAAAAATGTGGTCTGAAAAGTGATGCATCTGCGCTTATGAGCTCATTGTTTATTACGCATTGATTAGGATCATGCTGTTCTGTTCTATAGAAGTTTGTGTTGATTAATACATTTCAGGGTGATCGCATTGAAATCGCATCCGTTGTGTAGCTGTGAGAAGCACGATATCTACTTATTGACCGGTCATGAGGCCACGCCTACGGAGTAAACTGTATAAACCTAAAAATTGGTATTGCCTGTGAATATCGAATGTGTTATTGACCATATTTGTGTGCATTATATTCTGCTTACTTGTGCATAAGCCAAGGCATGGGCCTTCGCCTTTCCGTTGTGTTTTCTTGTCCACATCACTTCTGATGAATTTCGCGCTTTCTAGTCACGTTCCTTGAAGAATATTCACCTGCCAGCCACACATGAATGATGATTTACAGCACATTTGCCACTATCTCTGATGATGCTTTCAGTCGCAGCATAGTTGTTTTTGTGTTTCTTATCCATTGGTCTTCTCAAGAAATTCCTTGTAACTGTTAATGACACTCATAACTGTAGATCTCTGCATGAATGAACAGCTTTTTCAGTTTTTGTTTCGTTGACCCTAAATGTCTTGTACAAGTAATTGGCGTTCTTGCTAGCAATTGCATTTTTTCTTTTAGGTGCACTCGTCTTCAGTGTCGTTGATTTTTTTAGTTGTAGGCGACAGGTGTGCTCATTTTATAGCTTTGAAACTTTGAAGCTGTTGAATGAAATGCATGTCATCTTTATTACGTTCTGGTTTCTTTTTGTGTTGAAAATCTCCTATAAAGACTGCATGTAATTAACTCAAAGCACTAGAGTTTACTGCTGCGCATATGCAGATACCAGCAAGTCGTTAGTGTGTAGGATTTTGACATTGCTGGCTTTGACCTATGGTGAGCCGCAGGGCAGTCTTTGACTGCGGGATAGTCGCCTACAGATGAATTGGCCTCCCAGACGTCTTTGTTTCATCAACGATCTGCAGTCATGCTATTTTGGCAGGGGAACGGTCAGGAGGTACGATCGGTGCGAATTTTTCACGAAGCGACGCCACAAAGTGCTTCACTCAATACAACAGCAGCACTCCAGGCGCAATGTTACTTATGGCATTGAGTCATGTATCTGCCTCCACCCTCACCCCGTGTTTTTGCCGCCGGGAGTTTCTGATATGGGGAGTTTTATGGACTAGCGGCCCTAAGGGCCGCTTGCAAGTATGCTAGGGTACATATAGTCATCACCACAATAACCTCTACGTTTTATACCTTTTTAGGGTTCTGGGCAACTGAAACCGAGTAATAAATGACTTTTGACTCTTCTGATTGTGAGAATCCTCTTTGCTGATTATTCGATACCTTTTGACTCTCTTCTAAAAATTTTCTTTGGGTCAAATGTTTGCACCAATCTCAACAGAGTCACCAAGCAGTCGACTCTCAAAGCGACGATGTAGTCTACACTCAGCTAAACACTCAGAAAGTACCTCAGTTCCCGAAAAATTCCGGCAGCGAAAACAAGCATTGTATTCTCATGCCTTATGCGTCGCCTATAAACCACTTTTTGCAAATACGTACTGCTCCGTGCCTTCAGAGCGGTATATGTGAGAGCTGCCCCACGATCCTGGAGAAGAATACTTCAAGAAAAACTTTCCTACAGGCCTCCTACAGAGCGGTATTCTGAGAAAATAGTGCCCTTCATACCCCTACAAATGATATCGTATTCTGGGATAAGTCTGCCATACAATCCCCCCCCCCCCCCTACAAATCGAATATTGCGGGGAAGCCTTTAAGCTACTTACAGACGGAAAAATTGCCCTATGGTCCGCCCGCGGACGGTAATTAGTCATTAGAAGGAAATGCCCTATGGGCCGCTTACAGACCCTTATTTTGACAAGACTACACTGTGGGCTGCTTACAGACTGGTATTTTTCAAAAAAGATATTTTCAAAAAAGAACTGCTCATGTAGAATGATCCTACGAGCCGCTTACGGACCTTTTCCAGAAAAGGTTGCCCTATGGACGCACACAGACCGATATCAAGAAGAAATTGTCCTTCAAATCTTCAAACCAACTTTCGAAAATTGTCCTAAGAGCCGCTCAAAGTCTATTATTGCAAGAAGCAGTCGCTCGCCCTATGTGTAGCACAAGCTGGTATTTTGAAACAACAGAAGCTATGAGCTGCTTGAGACATATCTTTACGTAACTACCATCGATATATTAGAGCATATAACTGCCCTATGCGCCGCTGCAGAGTGGTAGTTATAGAAAGAAAATGCCCTATAGGCCACTAACAGACCGATGTTTTGAGAAGTTACTCACAGTCCCCTACAGACCGAGGTTTACAAGAACCCCCTTCCCCTTCCTCCGTCGTTCCTCTCCCAACAAACCCTACTGGAGAAAGAACCGTGCTGAGACTGCCCTAACAAGGGAAGTGTCAGAAGTCGCAGTGGCCTTTTGACATGGGATGGGTACCATCTTAAGCAGCTTTAAATGCTGATTCCAAAACAAACTTTCTTAGCTGCAGAACTGATCTGGGTCGCGAGTTATGGGCATTTTAAACATTAAATTTTAAACTGTTTGAAGTACTCTGTGATCACGGGAACCTTTCAATTGCTTGTTTAAGCACCACAGCATGACTTTGATGAAGGCGTAGGATTACGTTTAACATTGTTGGACTGTATCATCTATGTTTGAGCCCGAAAAAATGTTTGCTTTAATTTTTGGCTATTCTCAGCGTTGTAAATTTCCCGCAAATTAAATTCAATAACTCTCGTCCTAGATTAGTTCTGCAGCTAAGAAAGGCTGCTTTGGAATCAGCATTTCAAGCTGCTTCAGACGATACTTATTTCATGTCAAAAGGCCACTGCGAGTTCTGACACTTCCCTTGTAAGACCGATATTCTGAGAAAAGGCTATCTTACCCTCCCCCCTCTTCCTTCCCCCACAGACCGATAATTACAGGAAGTCCTGCCCTATGGGGGATCAGCAGATATTCCAGATTACAGATCTACAGCCCCTACAAACTGTATTGCCCTACGAGGCACTCACGTATAATCTGCTCTATGGACAGCCAAAGACCGAAGTCTTGAGAAAGAAGCTGCCAGCTACTTGTTGTTAGAGGCCTACACAATGGTATTTTGAGGAGGAACCGCCCTTGGAACCTATATACAACCAATATTTTGTGATAAAACTGCTCTATGGGCCACCTACAAACCATAATTTGAGAAAGGACTGCCTTATGGGATTTTACAGACCAATATTTCAAGAAAAATTGCTCTATGTGCCGCTGCAAATCGATAATTTCTAAAAGGAGGCGAGCGGGGAGGGGGGGGGGCTTGCCAACGATAATTTGTAAAGAATCGCTCCATGGGCCTCTTGCAGCATTTTGGGAAATAACCGCTCTGTGGGCGCTCACAGACCAATATATCAAGAATTGAGCTGGAAACCCTCAAACCAATATCTCGAAAAAAATTGCAGCCATTCAAAGACCGATATTTGAGAAAGAGCGCTTTCCGAGTCCCTTATGAATTAGTCTTCTGAGAGAGAAAAAATAATTAGAACAGGTTACAGTATATCTACGCCTCATACAAACCAACTTTCACAAGTAACTCCTCTACGCGCCGCACACAGACCGACAATTTTAGGAGGTGCCCTAGTCGCTTATACATCAGCATTTTGAGAAACAAGTACGAGCCTAAAAAGTGCCTGATGAGAAGCTTATGGAACGATAATTGTATGACGATTCTACGAGCCCTTCCGCTCCTCTTCAAATTCATATCTGAAAAAAAGCGCATTATGGTCCACCTTTAGAACTATAAATATGAAAATGAAATGTTCCCCTTGCGGACCGATACTTTGAGAAGGAACCACCCTACAAATAACCGCTAACTGGATAATTGTCGAAAAAACTCCTCAGGGGAGCTTACAGATAAATATTTTTAGTAGAACTGCCTTACTGGCACCTACTAATCAAGAAAGAGCCCTATGAACAGATTAAGCATTGAAAGATATGCCCAATGAACAGCGAACAGACTGGAGTTGTGAGAAATGATTGCAGAGACCTATAAGAATAGCCTTACGACTTACCAACTTATTTCAAGGACAGAGAACTGTCCTCATCAATTCTCACCAACTATGCCAGCTATGAACTTTAACTAATTATGGGCAGCCAATAACTTAAGCAGGAAAATGAAAATGTGAGCAGTCGAAGGGTAAACGTTGAGGAACTATTAAAGCATGTCTACGCTAGACAGCGAGTTCCGAATCATTCATACCGGCAGAGTTCAAACTTGCGAAAGAAGGGGGGGGGGGGGGTACTGTTAGCAACCTTACGAGAGTGTCGGCCCCTTCCCAACTATAGCCTTTTTGCACTTAAGAACCGCACCCCTTTTGGACGCCTTTCTCGAGGAGACACGATATTTACCACCCCCTGTACCCCTACGAAAACACACTAGCCTTGTAGACAATCTGCACCCTCCGCACCCTCGGCAATCACTCGCCTCAGTCCGCAACTTGTCAACATGTAAGTGCAAAACCTTGCCATTCTTTATTATAGAACCAGACCGAAGTGCCGCTTCGCGGCACTTCGGTCTGGCCGTGTGTGAAGTGGGGTGTGCGTAGAAATTTGGCACATTGCCTCTTCTTACGGTTAGTCAAAAAGTAGGTGTTCGCAAGCATCTGCTAATGGCGAAAACGCGAAGTAAGTGAAATTTCTATAGGTTTTATATGTTGATGTGAATGAAATATACAACAGAGCTTTTCTTATCTCCCCAAAATGTTTGGCATGTGGAGGATTTACAGCTTTTGCAAAACATTAGCTTGGTGGTTGGTGGGTCTAAAATAGCCAAATCTGCTGAGGTTGTGCACTTGGACTAAAAGTAAGCCATCTAATGTAAGTCATCTGGAAAACTTTTTGGAAGAAATTGAAAGCTCTTCTGTCACACTGCGCTGCAACCCCCCCCCCCTCTCCCCTCCGTGTTTTCACTCCCCCCCCCTTTGCGCTGAAGGCTTGTCAGCATAAGCATATTTTGCTTTCTTTCCGAAAAGTTTCCTTCAAAAAATCTCCACGTTTCCCTAGTTCCTTATTTCTTCAAAATGTGCCACACTAATCATATTCTTGAGGTTTTCAGATTGATTTTTATCAAAATTTATGCATACCCAGCGAGAGTAATCTCAACCTTCCAAGCCACTTTCCGCTTTTCTATCACTTATTTTCCCCTAAATGAATGTTTTTCGAAAAACCGTGCGGGAACGTCTCCGGCTCCTTCGAGATCAGGGAAAAATCTGGCACTCGTTCCTTTTATTGGAAATGTTCGAATGTCCCTAAATTTATCAATGTGTAAATTTAGCATTATTCAAGTGTTTGCGCCATATTTTGTTAGTTTTCCTTTACCTTTCGATTACATCCCAAAAACTACTCTTGAGCTTCCTCTGTCAGGACCGCTCAAAGCTTTGATCTCTGATTTTCTTGAAAACGTGCGTATATCTTTGCCTTTGCCGGAGTCAAAGTGCACATCTCCCCAAGTTTTTCCACTCTCCCCCCCTGCCCCCTCCCTTCTTTCGTATCAACTTCCTCTATGCTACCCTAATATCTCAATTTTGTGGCATTTCAAACCATATTTTTCGTACTTCCAGCATTGGAGACCTCCATCTTTCATTCCTTCAGTTTACAATAATTTTTATACCTTCAATATGCTTTCTATATTTTGACTGATGTCTTCCGAAACTTCAAAACCTTTCTAGCGGAAGCTATCCGCGCTCGCGTTGCTGCTCGCTTTTGCGATATATTAATCTAATGCATAACGAAAACAGCTAAGTAACCTACCCCCTTCCCAGCATTTAGCTTGTCTAGCAAGTCACTTTGCTAGTTAGGCTCCTCGATTAACATCATCTAAGACAGGCGCCACTACCATCATGAGCCACAGCTCGGTGCACCTGCACCGCACATAACGACAAAGTTGTTGACATCCGAATCGCGACCACGAAGGGGGGGGGTATCTTACATGCATGAGTCATCTCTAGCGCTTTATTATAGAGAGATGATCCCAAGATCGGGACGCGGCGTGCGCGACGAAGCGGCCGCCGCGCGCGGCGTACCTCCTGGCGTGCAGCCTCTGCACTTCAGAGGGAGGTCAAGGAGCGACTTCTCTAGAAGTCGACTATCTGACAGCCCATTTCGGAGCTATGTGAGTCTTTCAAGAGTACCAGACAAATCGCATCCTTGCTGACTATCTGAAGTTAACATTCGGACGGCTTTTGGTGGAAAGTTGATCTAAATATTCTTATTGCCACTAGCTGCATTTTCAGTTTTCGACCTTCCATCAACGTTTTGATCTATTTAAGAACACAAGGTTCAAAGCTCTGGTAGCTGCGCTAGTTGGTGCCCATCTGGCAATAAAAATCATCCTCATGACAAAGGCTCGGCGAAAATGGATCCCTATCGGCGTACAAGATGTTCATCTACAAAAGTTATGAATTTTTTATGTTAAAAATTCGAAAATCTCCAAAAATCACTAGGCACACCTTCACCCAGGCACGGTAATGGTGACATCTCCATGTACTGTCTGTTCATCTACAAAAGTTAAATTTTTTTTATGCTAAAAACTCGAAAATCTTTACAAGTCACTAAGTACACCTTTCATCCAGGCAATTTTTTGGACGGATCTCACAAGGGAAGTACTTTTAATGGCCGTCGCCTTTTGATATGAGATCCATATTATCTGAAGCAGTTTCAACTTATTTTAAATCTGCTTTCCGTTTATGCGGAGCTCCCTTCTGATGAGAGTTATGGAAGCCTGAAAATCCTATCTTGGGGGCGCTCTTTGTGTTTGAGAGCGGTGCCATGTGCGTCGTTGGTGCAGTGCGTAATGGTTAGTTGTTGCACATTGAAGGCGAAAGGTCGGTGGATGAACCCGGTGCAGAGCGAACCATTTCGCACTTTGAATGTGAGTTTAAAACCACTCTAATTCGTCTGCAGTCACTATAATACTAGTGGCGGACCGAGGGGGAGCGGGGGAGGCCCCCCCCCCCGAGAGTGGGTCGCGAAATTTCTGAAAGTTACTTATATCTTATATATAAAGCTGAATGTCTGTTTGTCTGTCTGTCTGTCTGTCTGTATGTATGTCTGTACGTATGTTCCGAATAGAAAATTCCATTTCTGAACCGATCCGGACCAAACTTGGCACACATACACTACGGGCCCCGGCGGGTGTCATAGGCTACTTTTCGTCATCGATCGATATCGATTTTTATCAATTTTTTTGCTGAGTTCACCTACGGGGCTGGGAGTTGGCACAGGGGGGTAATCGAGCATGGGGATTCCGAATACAATATTGGTTTTTAGGATTATCGATTACTTTTATCAATTTTATCGATTTTTTTGCAAAGTTTGAGCTACGGGGCTGGGAGTTGGCACAGGGGGGTAATCGAGCATGGGGATTCCGAATACAATATTGGTTTTCAGGATTATCGATTACTTTTATCGATTTTATCGATTTTTTTTGCGAAGTTTGAGCTAGGGGGCTGGGAGTTGGCACAGGGGGGTAATCGAGCATGCTGATCATCCCCAAGGGGGGTGATCAGCATGCTCGATTACACCCCTGTGCCAAATTCCAGCCCCCTAGCTCAAATTTTCAAAAAATCGATAAAATCGATAAAAGTAATGGACGATCTTGAAAACTAATATTGTATTCGTAATCTGCATGCTCGATTACCCCCCCCCCCTGTGCAAACTCCCAGCCCCGCAGGTCAAACTTTACAAAAAAAAATCGATAAAATCGATAAAAGTAATGGACGATCCTGAAAACTAATATTGTGTTCGTAATCACCATGCTCGATTACCCCCCTGTGCAAAATTCCAGCCTCGCATGTCAAAATTTACAAAAAATCGATAAAATCAATTAAAGTAATCGATAATTCTGAAAACTAATATTGTATTCGGAATCCCCATGCTCACTTCCCCCCCTGTGCCAACTCCTAGCCCTGTAGGTGAACTCTGCAAAAAAATCGATAAAAATCGGTAAAATCGACATCGATCGATAACGAAAAGTGGACTGTGACACCCGCCGGGGCCCGAAGTGTATGTGTGCCAAGTTTGGTCCGGATACGGCGGAGCCGGGTAAGCCAGCTAGTGGATCATAAAAATGTACAAGTGACTTGTTTATACTTGTAAGTAAAATAACTTTTAAAATTTTTTAAAAATTCAAATCAGCCTTGTAAAAAAATTTTTTGGGGTCGTGGCTGACGCCACGCCCCTTTTTCCAGGTTTTAGGGGTTGGGGACCCGCAAAAATTTTGAGAAGCACTTCAAAAATTTTTTCGGGGTGCGCGGGTAACGCCACCTTCATTGGAAAAATTTTTTTGTCGCCCCCTCCTCCCGTCCGAAATCCTGCGACCGCCACTGTGTAATACCCTACCCTTGGCAGATGTGACCTGAAGGAAAAATTTTCTCGCATAACTGCTCGTAATGAGGCTTTGAAACTCTACCTGACTTCGTTACCAGTAAAACAGGAATGAACATAAAAAGCATGTTCACCACCATATAAAGCTCAAGGAATGCGCACTGTTGTTAATCGAGATGTTCTCTTCTGCCTTTAATTTAGTGGGTACTTGCGAGCATGAGTTTTCTTCATGCGCTGTTCCCGTTGTGAGAAATGTCTGTTTTGCCCACTTTGTAATTTAGCTTCACCTCTGTACATATTTTTTTGCGGAGAAAACCAAATCTCAACAAGCAAGCGGTTTGCCAGAAAATTTTTCCCTTAGGTCACATTTGCCAAGGGTATTGCAGTAAGTGACTGCAGACGAATTAGAGTGGTTTTTAAACTCACATTCAAAGTGCAAAATGGTTCGCTCTGCAACGGGTTCGCACTACTGACATCTCGCCTTCAATGCCAACAACTAACCATTACACACTGCACCACTGACGCACATAACACCGCTCTCAAACTCAAAGAGCGCCTCCAAGATAGGACTTTCAAGCTTCCATAACTCTCTTCAGAAGGACGCTCCGCAGAAACGGAAAGCAGATTTAAAATCAGCGTTTGAAGCTGCTTCACACTTATGCATCTCATATCAAAAGGCCACGGCCATTGATAGTACCTCCCTCATCAGACATGCTAATATATATTTTCTGAAAACGGAGGACGAGGCGGTTCCGAAGGTGACTATTTCCTTGTACAACTTGTTCATCTACAGAAGTTGAGGATTTTTTTTTATCTTAAAAACTCGTAAATATCCAGAAACAACCCACACCCTTCACCAGGCACTTTTTTCAACAGACTCCAGACAAACTATATATTCTCTGAAAGCGGAGGACGACATGGTTTGACGTTGCTGTTCATCTACGGACTATGAATTTAATCTTTTAAAAATTCGCAGATGCTTAAAATTTGTGTACCCTTTCCGAAACAAATGTTCTCACATGCACATCTTCTATGGTAATTTCAAAAACAGGCAGGGTGATGTAAAAAAGGGATAAAGGAAAAATGTAAAAATAAATACAAGGCGTATCAAAAACATGATTGTGTGCTAATCCGGCAGCACATCTGTTAACAGTTCAGAAAAAAGACAACCAGTGATGGCACGGAATTGAAAAATAAACTGACTAGGAAAAATGTTGAGAGAACACCACGACTTCCTCCTCCCCCCCCCCCCCCCCCGGTCGACATTTTATAATTTCTCTACTAAGTGAAACACCTTTCACCCGGAGGGGCTGCGACCGCTGACCCCCTTCACCCTGTAGGGGTCATTCTCACCTTATCGCACCTATGAAAATTTCAACCCTGCCCTCCAGTTCAAGTGTTGAGACCTGAAAAGGCGCTCCAAACTTCCACTAATAACGCCCAATCAGTAGAAGTACGCGGGGCTGGTGGAGTTTTGAAGCGCGTTTTCAGGGCTTAGCGCATGAGCTGGAAGGTAGGGTTGGGGCTACAATATACTTGGTCTACTACCGAACACTACCAGAATTTGACAGGAGTGCGTTTTGCCGAGCCATTGCTTTTAATGCTAGTCTTGAAATTGGTTAAAGTCTAGCCGAATCAGAAAATGTGGCGACTTCTGTAGACGGAAGAGTGGCGCTTTCTGCTTTTGTTTATGTTTTGCTGCAGTGGTTCAATGGAAGATTTGTTTTCTGTGAAAATTGTGTATGAGCGTTACTCCAAAAATGTTGACAGTTCTTTATTGACGGCTAACGTTTCGGCACTTTCGTCTTCTTCACAGAGCCTGGAAGTCGAAGTCATAAGCAACTCATTCTTTCAGACGACAAGAAAAGACTAAGAATTCTTTTCGAGAGAAAGCTAACGCGGACCATCGTCAGAATCACAAGGGTACAATACTCACCTTGAATAACACAAAGAGGGACTCAGAAGACCAACTATATACGAGATTATGCCTCAGCTTTTTTATATGTGCCGCGATGACCTGATCTCATATTCAAGTCCGCATAAAGACTGATACACTCTTCCTTTTCGTTTAATTTTGGATTTTTGACATTAACCCAAAACGCCTACAACGTTTTGCGTGCGAGGATCTCGGGCTTATACGACAAGATTCTTACTGCAACTTGTACGTAGCGGCTTTTAAGCTTGCTCCATCCAGATGCTTTTTTAAGCGACAACAAGAAGGGCGCCCTGCATCGCCAAAGTATACTTCCCGCAACCACATTTCTTGGTTTTCATCTCTAAGTGGCTTTTCTGTTTACGTAAGATAGTATTTAAACACTGTAAGTGACTGAGCCGAGCTTGAGGTGATGCTATGATGTTATGCTCCTGTGGGCGCAAAGACCGCAGTCAAATCTGTCGTAACGATTTTATAAATGACCTTATGTGTCTCCGCATAAAAGACATGTTATAAGATAAATGACTCCGGACTGCATACACTTTCTTCACCGATTGGGCACACCACACAACTAGGAGTAGAGCAAGTATGATCTGAGCGCGGTTTCGAACAAGCTGCCGTTTTAGATTAGCTGGAAGGATATCGACCACTAATATCACGCTTTGCAAAGGCAGGCGCTATACTCCTCGACGAGTATAGCATGGCGACGATCGATATGCATCAAATACGGTAAAACCGGCGATTTTTGTCGCCGATATTGGCGATCGCCAGTCGCTACGACTGGCGATCGCAAGTCGCCAGTGTTGGCGACTACACAATAAATGTGTATCGATTGGACGTGTGGTAACTTGTTAGCGATCGATACGCATAGAAGACACAGTCGCCAGTATTGGCGACTGGCGATCGCCCGTCGTAGCGACTGGCGATCGCCCGTCGCTATGCTATACTCCTCGAGGAGTATGGCACCTGCCAAACACGTGTAAATCATCGCCGCACTGCATTGCTCAACTCATTGGAGATGAACGGTAGGCAGAAGGGGATCACAGGTACTGCTATTACGAGCTCCAAACGAAATTCAAAAGCAATCGAACAAGAGTCAAGAACGACGAACATGGGAGATTTTTTTTATTTGTTTTTTTGTTTATTTATCCAATACGCTTGAGGCTTGATACATGCCTTGCTTAGGTATGGACAAAACCAGCGAGCAGCGAAGGCAGAGCTGCTTCGGCTGATCAGAGCTGCAGTCGGCTGCTTCTTGGGTGCTCGATGAGTGCAAAAACCACGCACAATAACTGCACTATCGCCAAATTTTATAATGTCGAAAACGAGGGAATTAGCATGTTTTGAGCTGGATCTGGAGTTATATTCTACTTTTATGAGGAGTTCTTCATGTTTCATTTTTCATTATAAATTTTGTAAAGTCGCTAAGCTTCCTTAGTTACTTCTGTTGTTCTCTATTGTGTTTTCTAGTCCTTTTTAGTCGATTTATTAAATATGCGTTTATTTGGTGTTTCAACTGTTTTACTAAGTTTTGATTGCTTCGTGTCGAGACCACGCGATCGAACGCGCATGCACATCTTCTCGGGCCGCTATATAAGGCGGCTGCGCTTGGCTCAAATCAGTCTTTTTGTCGTCGAGCTACTTGGTGAGCGGTCGATCAATCGAGGAACCAAGCCGAGAAGGACGCCGACGCCAATCGCCTGGAGGATCGCTTCAATAAAGGACCTCAACAACCCCTGGACACCACGCCGAGCCCCCGCGATAGCGCATAGAGTAGGCCTCCTATTGCGTAACAATTTTTAATAGATAGTAGCCTCATACGAGCAAACATAAGTGGAGCATAAATGTACTGATTTCATTCAACCCTTATCATGGCTGTCCCAGCATATGAGAGTTTTCCTCAGGCAATGACATGATCGGAGTCCACTGGAAGCGAAATTTTACATGACTACACCATCAGCTTCTCAAATTATTGCCAATTTGTAGTTGACTTTTATTACTTCATATCTCTTCATTTTCATGGAGTATGTCTCTCCAATTCATCTCAATGTTTTCCCATATCCACCTCTAAAATGCTAATTCAATGGTTTTAGGCTGCACTCATGACCTGCTTATGCAGGAGAGACGGACTTTGCTTTTAAAGCGCTAATGCTTGAAAACCGGTAAAAATAGGTGGATTCAAACAAAAGCAGCTGTTTGCAGCTCGAAGCAGCTGAGACAAGCTCAGAAAAAGTGAGCGTAACTCAGCTGCAAGATCTAGTGCAGCGCCGATCAGCACTTATCAGCACGTGCTAAAACGCTAGGTATGGACATGACCTTTTGTATTAGCTGCTGCAGCGTGAGGCAGGAGCGTCACTCCGCTGCAGTCGATACGCATTAAATACACCGCTACGTATAGACACTCTACGCTAAGTGTGTATCAAGCCCTAAAGTGTGCTACAAAAGCAGGGGGTATAAATCAAGGACAGGATGATGTCTATTCACAAGAGACGAAATTTCAAGGCAATGGATTTCTATCCCCACAACGGCCGGCCGCCTCGAGGTGGCGTGGGGGTGACACTGGGTGTCGAATTGCGATGCACAGCCGAGTGCATACTCTGATAGGGCCTCCCAAGCGGTGAAGGAGTTCGACGTTTCCGGTTTCGGCCGGATGCTTAGCTAAGAGCCGCCAGGCCAGATCCCCCGCCGTCTGACTCTCTAGTCGCTGGGCGGTTCTCCCCACTCCACAACCAGGTTAGCGATCGCCCCGTGGAAATCAAGAGTTGGCACGGGGTTGTTTCAAACTGCCGCACTGACCGCAGCAGACTGCAGCAGACTGCAACAGACTGCAGCAGACTGCACTGACCATCGCCCCGTGGAAATCAAGAGTTGGCACAAGGTTGTTTCAAATGCCGCACTGACTGCAGCAGACTGCACCAGACTGCAACAGACTGCAGCAGACTGCAGCTGACTGCACTGACCGCAGCTGACTGCAGCAGACTGCAGCAGACTGCAGCTGACCGCATTGACCGCGGGGCCGCACAGATCGCTACATCCTTTTGTGAAGGTGGAGAGGATACATAGTTGTAGCTCAAGCAGTCTCTTAACAATATATGCCCCAATAGACAACATGAGAGGGAGTAAAATAGGTATATGCAATGACAAAAGGAATCTGAACAAATATGAGCATATTAAAGAAAAACAATCGCCAAAATTTGATTGAGAAGAGCAAATTATAATAGAACCTATGAGCTTTCTAGGCGTGAATCACGGTGTTTTGTGCATTCGCAACTATTTTCCCCTTTACGAAAGGATGCAGCGATTGTCCGGCCGTTGCGGTCAGTGCGGTCAGCTGCAGTCTGCTGCAGTCTGCTGCTGTCAGTGCAGTCAGCTGCAGTCTGCTGCAGTCAGTGCGGCAGTCTGCTGCAGTCAGTGCGGCAGTCTGCTGCAGTCAGTGCGGCAGTCTGCTGTAGTCAGTGCGGCAGTATGAAACAACCCATAGTAAGTCTGCTCTTCGGAAAACATTTTTATTACTCAATTAGCAAAAAGAAGAGAAATAAACCCCATCGTATCCCGCCTACGGCGCAGGGTGGTAGCAAGAACGATGTTAGGGTACTCAGAACGCCTTTCGGATCGGACAAAAAACTATAAGTCTGCCCGGACGACACGCCATGGAGACTGCCTCGTGCCTGCACCTACAACGCTAGGACAGTCTCCACAAACCCAACCTCCACGCTCCTCTCGACGCTGCAGAGCACATCAAGTACCACGTCATCGCT